CTGCCCGCCGCCCCCTCCCCGGACCCTGGACCCTGGACCCTGGACCCTGGACCCTGGACCCTGGACCCTGGACTGCTTGTTCCCCAGACCTCGGACCTCCACCCCGGGCCCGCGAGCCACAAGCCTACCTCGCGCCATGGTGCAGCCGCTCGCACTTCCCGCCTCCGCCGCAGCGCGCCCCACGCAGGGCACGCAGCGCGCCTAGCAACGGCCGCCTGGCAACGGCGTCACTTCCGCCCTCTGCAAGGCGAGGCCACGTGATCGCCTGGCCGCAGCCGCTTTAGCGGCGCCGGGTTTGTCTTTTGCAGTCTCTTGCGGGTCCCCAAGGCCCTGCCCAGCCTGCTCTAGCCACCCCTCCGCTTCGCACCCTGGGGCAGGCGCCTTCGTTCCCAGGTTCCTGCGGCCACGCTCAAGCCAGGACCCAGTCCTCTAGCACGACCAGCTAGGGGATCCAGGGAGGGTCCTGACTCATTCCGGGGGTCCATCTCTAAGTCTAGAATGAGACACCCCGCCAGGGGCGGTCCACACCCACTGACAGCCCAGCCCTTTGGAGGGGGCATGCACACCTGGGTACTCCATTGTAGGCGAGGTCACCTGCCCAACAAGCTATGCAGTGTTCCACAAGCCCCTAGGGTTGAGGAACCCCAGCTCTCACAGGCATCCCCTAGGGCTCCCCCAAAACCTGTGGGACACCTTCATCCACTGTCCCACACCAAGTCTGGGAGACAGGACCAGGGTTCCTGTGACCTGGCCCCAATCCTGGGACTCTGGGACCCCATCCCAGAGACAGTTACATAATATTTCTGGGTTACCAAGCTGGGCTCAGGCACTTGAGGACGCCAAAAGGGAGAGGAAGGGGGAGTGGGTGTCAGGTGGGGCAGGGTGGGGTTCACAGACTTCCAAGGAAGATGAGCTGGCCTCAGCACCTCTGTCAGGACACAGGAGGGCAGCTAGGCAAGATACTGAGAGGACCCTGTCTACCCACCACACACCAAGTAAAGGCCACTCTGAAAAGGCAGCTTCTTGACTTTATTAGCCTGGAACTCTGCCATGCCAGTCCCAGGGGCTGGTCCCCAGGCACAGTGAGCAAGATTGAGGTCAGACAGGTTCAGTCCCTTGCCCCTGGCACAGCTGGGCCAAGGGGTCAGAAGGTACAAAAGTCCAAATGCTGGCACTTCAGGTGTGGCCGCTGTCCAGCCTGGCCCAGGGTGCCATGGTCCTCTCCTAGCAGAGGGTCTGCCACGGGGGCACAGCCAGGCCTGCACAGGCAGTGTTCCTTCCAAAGCAGCGGCTAGGAGCAGTTAGTGATTCTGGCCAGGAACTGCTGTGCCCACCACTCATCCAGGTCAATGGGCACGAAGTCTGTGGGCAGAAGAGAAGGCTAGGCAGTGATGTCACCTCCCAAACTGTCAGCATCTCTCTCCTCAAGCTGACCACAAGCCCCTCACCCAGACTCCAAATGTGGCAGGCAACTGTGAAGATGTGGCCCAGGTTCAAGACCCCTCTATCCCCTGGGGCTAGAACCTGGCAGGGCCCAGGTCACGATGAGGGGGAGCGGAGGGGACACCTGAGGGTGGGGGAGAGCTCACTCTGCAGTCTGGGGTTGGGGGTCCTCTCCACATACTGCACAGGCCTCGGACTGCTCTCACCGGCTGGGCCACCACCCAGCTGTTGCTCCACTTGCTGCCAGGCTGTAGGGAGAGGATAGTCAGGCTGAACCAGGCCCCTGGCACTCTGTCTCACCCCCAGGGCCTGGTGGCCACTCTGGACCACATCCCAGAAGTGGGAATGGGTAGCCTGCTGGACAGTCACAGGACAAACAGGCTGAGAGCCCAGGAAGAACCCAGCCCTCTGGCAGCTGCAAGGCAGGTTACAGTGGGGAAGAGGACCAGTGGCCCAGGCCGTACCCCTGGGTCTCCAAACTACCTTCGGACACAAAGCGGACATTCTCCTCGTGGGCCAGCGTGTAGGTCTCCTGGGTCACCTCGATGGATGGGGATGTGGTAGGGGGCCTCCGGCCATTCACTCGATTGAACACAAGCCTTGGCCCTGGACTGTGGGAAAGGTAGAAGAAGATTGGTGACTGTCCTGTACGTGCTGCCTAGCAGAGTTCCAGGAGCAGGCCAGGCCCAGCCTCAGCCCTTCCCTGAACCACAGCCTTCCTACAGCCAGTGCCCAAGGCCTCTCTCCTGCAGGCCTGAGACCCCAGCAGCTCAGCTCACACCTGCAGCCCCTGGCCCTGAGGCACACCTGTGTCCCAGTTCCCCAGCAGGGCTCCATGCTCAAGGCACACAGGCAAGCCCCTCTGCCACCTGCCTCCCACCTCCCCTGGACTGGCCAGGCCTCCAACAGTCCCAGTTCTGACTGGAGCTGTGACCAGGTCAGTCTGTCCCAACCCCACCTGCCAGGCATATTTCTTGGCCATCTTTTCCCCACAGAAGCTTCTCCATCTCACCAATGCCCCAGTGTGGGAAGAAGGACCCAAACAAGAGCCCAGTGGCCTCTGCTCCAGGCCCCATGGGGAGGAACCCCAAGGGATGGCACCCAGTATGGGGTAGGCCATTCTTCTTGGGGAGGGTGTGGCTGCAGCCCTGGCCCATCCCTGCAGGCCCCAGACAAGGGCAAGGCTCTTGCCCACAGGGGTGGGAATGCTGAATGAGGAGATGGCCCCTGGGTGCTAGAGCTCCGCCCAGTGGGCATGCTATGTCCAGGGGGCCACTGGGCCCATCCTGGCCAGCTGGACCCAGGACAGTGATGGGCCGTGGAGGGAGCAGGGCCGCACCTAAAGCAGGAGGTGGGAGCCGGGAGTCCTGGGCTGCACGTGCCACTCCGCCAGGCACTCGCCTGCTCGCCATCCTGGGCTCAGGTGCCCCACCGCTGCTCCGACTTCCTCCTCGGCCGAAAGGGGCACTAAAATAAAGAGGAGCGTCTTGAGGGGCACCGGTGCCACCAGCTCTAGGCTGCAGGGAATCTATAGAGAGGGGGCTCCTTCCCGTCTGAGCTGCACAACCAGAAGGCGTGACTTGGACAGCCCCTCACCTGTCTCACACACACACACACACACACACACACACACACACACGCTGCAACCTTCAGGAAAGTTTGCAGGCTGGACACTGAAGGAGGAGGGGAAAAAGGGGAATTGCAGCCCTGGGCTTCAAATCACAGGGACCAAGGTGGTGGCTGGCACCTGCCTGCCCCTCCAGTCTGGCCATCCCCTGTCCTCTGTGGGCAGTTAGTGTGGTTACATAAAGTCAATATACAGGCCCTCTGGGGGAAAGGGCACGGGCTCCCATGTGCTCCTGTGGACGAAGGCCACCCTGTGCCTGCTCCCTGGGACACTGCCAATAGGCAAGCTCCAGCCCATAGCACTCAAGTCCCTGCTTAGCACAAACAGGGGCATCTTCTCACCTAATCCCTTCCAAGATTCCCAAGGTAGGCCACCCACCATTGTCAGCCCAGGAACCTGGGCTCCAGGGAAGTGACCTGTCCAAGGTCACAAGACATGAGTGGATAGCAGCACCAGGACTTAATTGCACATCTATCCGACCTGAAAGCCCACAGCTCAGTACAGGTCTCAAGCCCCCTCCCCCACCTGGCTGATTGTCTGTCTGCCCCTGGACCTCTGGTGGTCACATGCCCCCATTTTATCTTCTCCCCAACACTTGATATAGCCTCCATTGATCTCATTCTCTCTCCGGTCTGTATCTGGCTAGGAGGGAAAGCTTGTCAGAGGTACAGACCCATGTGGCCTGTTCACCACCATGGGCAGCACCCAGACCCATGACCAGCTAGAACCCAAGCTCATCCACTTAGTGGGTCAGACACTTGAGCATCTGCAAAGCACCAGACCTGCTGGTGAATGCAACAGTGGCCCAGATTCTTACTCCCTCCTGGACAAGTGGGAGCGAGGGATGGGGAGTAGTAAAAAGGCTCTGCAGAGGAAAAAGCAAGGAAGGTGGGAGGAAGTCAGGGTGGAGCCATTTTGGAGAGTGGCCCTCTGAGAAGGTGCAGGAGTAGACGTGGGGGCTCTTCATGTGGAGGACAGCTAGCTGTCTGGCCTCCCAGTGGGGTCTGTTTAAGGCCACAGGGACTGGTAGGGGGCAGTTAAGAGGAGGGGGATGACCTAAGAGGGAAGGGGGACCAGCACAGCCAGCACATTCTCTTACTGCTCATCACTTCTCTGCACCCTGTGTGGGCGGCCCAGCTCCCCCAGGTCCAGCTTGTCAGCACCCTACTGGCCCAGGACCTGGCAGGCTGCATGTGCCCAGCTGGCTCAGAGCATGCTGAAGACGGAGGTGAGGCCTCCTGGGAGTTTTAAGGGCTCTGTACTATCTATCCCACATCCTTCCCCAGCACGGGGGACATGGAGAGGAAGGTGATGAGTTTCTCCAGGTAAGAGGGTAGGAAGCACCCTGGGCCATTCCAGCCCCAAGCTACCTGACTGGGTGACCAGTGGTAGCTACACATCTATGCCTAATTTCCTCCCCTGGGAGATAGGGCAGCTGTGAATACCAAGGTCCAGGTGACAAGGCAGTGTCAGCACAGCCTGGGTCCCAGGGAGCAGCCAGGAAGGCCCCTCACTTCCCTCCCCCGGAGGCACCTGTGGCTGGCCTTGAACATTTTTCTCACTAGGATAGAGCCCCAAAGTGTCAACATGCCCCCAGCAGAAGACCCCTGGGAAGAACTCAGCCCAGAGGGTCCCACAGTATACCCCCATTTGAGGGCCTGTAACTGAGGGAGAGGGGCAGGCTTAGGGACAACCCCCACCCCTTCTTCACACACAAACACATACATACACCCCTGACCTCCTGGCCAACCTTGGAGGCTGTTTATCCTTAACCTGGGAAGTCCTCCTTGCCAGCACCCTCCTCCTCAGGCCCTCAGCACTGCTTCTGGGGGTCCTGAGTCTGCTGCCCCCACCCACAGGAGCCCTCAGCCTGTGTGGCCCTAGACCAAAAAGCCAAGGGCCAAGAAATGCATAGACTACCTGAAGCCAAGGCCAGGGCTTGAGCCAAGTAAAAGGTTAAGCTCTGGGGGAGGGGAATCTGACCTCCAGGTCATGGTAGTGTGGAGGCCAAAGTGTCCAGAATTGAGCCTCCTGTGGCTGGCCTCAGGCTCTTGGCACCAGCAAAAGTGCTGGTCAGAAAAAGTGAAAACTGTAGGCTCCAGAGAGTCCTGAGCATCTCCGGGGGCCTCCAGGGCCCAGCCAGGGTAGGGTGTTTGGGGTGAAGGGCAGAGGAGGGCAGTGGCATGGCAGGGCGAGAGGCAACCACGTGCACCTCTCCCCCAGCGAGCTCTGCAAGCATGGAACTGGCAGCTAGAGACAGGATCCTTGAGGGTCAGCGCACTGGGCCATCCTGCACCGCGGCGGAAACCGAAGCAGCTCGCCTTAAACCTCGGCCTCTGAAGCCCAAGGTCGCCTGGACATTGGATTCAGATGGCTGGAGCCCCTTCGACCTTGGAGCTGGTCGGCTTTCTTCTAGGGTCCCACAGGGCCGGGAGTGGGGGTGTCTAGCACATGGAGCCCAGCCCCCCCCTCCCCGCCCCCAGCTAGGTGCCA